TGGTTTCATGGTCATCCCAGAGCATGTGGCACAGGAATTGCATCCAGAGGGTTCTTGCATTTCCTCTCCACTGAGGAAGACTCCACACCCTCTCTGGACAATCTGTTCCAGTGTGGTCATTGCACAGTTAAAAAGTTCTTCTTCACATTCAGGTGGAACTTCCTGTTCATCAGTTACTGCCCCATTGCCTGTTGTCCCATTCTTTGGCAGCACCAAGAAGAGCCTGGCTCCAACCTCTTGACACCCTTCATGTATGGATACACATTGATGAAGTCCCCTCTCACTCTTCTCAAGCCTGAACAGACCCAGGTCCCTCAGCCCTCCCTCCTAAGAGAAGAGCTCTAGTCCCCCGATTATCCCCGTTGCCTCTGCTGGACCTGCTGCAGGAGCTCCATGTCCCTCTTGTGCTCAGAAGCCCAAAGATGAAAGTCTCTGCCTCTCTGATAGCCATTTCTTCAGCTGTTTGCCCATATCTCCAGCAGGTGGATTTATAATCCTTTTTGCACCTAGAAGTTCCTCACAGCTGTGTCTGCCCAATGCTTAGGTCAAGGTTCTTTTCAGGGACAAACTGCCACCATACAGAGCTGGAATAATTTGTGAGTGTTAATTGCCAAAAAGAAACCGACCCCCATCATGTAATTTTTGAGGCCTCGGTGTGTTCTGCAGTGAGGGAATCAGTGCGAGGGAGAAGCAGCATGAGAGATGCAGAAAACAAGGGGGTGTGCTAACATCTGAGGTTTGTCAGGGAAAATGAAAGGAAGTTGTTTGAAGTGTGTTTAAAAAAAGATCTGCCAGGAAAACCAAACATCCCTGGCTGACAGTGAAAACTGCACTGTCAGCATCATGGCTTTGATGCGAAGGCTAAGTGTGTCATCCCCCAGGCTCCCCCCAGCAGCGCATGGTGGGACAGTAACGAGCAGTTTAGGTAAGAAATCATTAGATGTTGAGCTGTCTGAGAAAGAGGGGGGGAAACAAAGTTGGAAATACCCTGGTTAGGCCTCATTAAGAAGATACCTGTCTTGGACAAGGAGGTGTTGATGTGTTCTCATTTACTGTTTCATCAGGGTCTATTGGGTTGTGAGGTTGTTTATTTTTTTAAAATAAATATGGCTGGTCTGCCCATGTTTGGCATGTGTGTATTAAATAGGGGGCCAGAAACAAGATTCCCCTGTCACCTGGGAAGAGCAGCATTTTTCTTGGAGAAGCATCTACTATCTCAGCAAGGAGCTCTGCTGCCAGCACAGCAGACACTACTGTATCAGAACACTTCAACCCAAATCCCCAGAGTTTCTTGCTCTTCTTGTCCTACTTCAGGGAGTCTTACAAAGGCTCCTTTCTCTCGCACTCCAGTCACGGCTGCGCTAATCTCAGCACAGCACAATTTTACTGGCATGCATGCTGCATCCCTTGCTGTTCTGTCCTGGCCTCATGCAGGTCTGGCAATGCAAGGCTTGACCTTTATCTACTGCAGCTTTTGCAGGTGTCTGTAGCTACTTTTTCAGAAGAGCAAATTGTTCTCAAGCCTGTCCTGATGGCAGGGGAAGAAACAGCTTTGGTATCACACAAGGAAAGAGAACTTAGGCACTGTTGGTTTTGGCAAGGTGGTCACTCTTGATGCTTGTATATAAGAACTGTAGGGTTAAATGGGACATGCGTTTAGGGAATAGTAGACTGAAATACCTGGGAGAACATGGGAGATGGAGAGAAGTGGATTTGGACAGAGTCATATCATGCTTCTTTTTCTAGCCCGTTCTTGAGCTAACATTTTCCATGCTTCCAATAACCATGCCTCATTGGGGGCTTTTGGGTGCCCAATATGAAGCAGGCACATCTCCCTTCAGCCTTATCCACAGCCCCCAAAAAACAGCGGTGTGAGCAGCAGGTCTGCAAGACCTCGCTTCATCCTGTCTTGGGCCTAGGACCCAAGTGAAGTGGGTCCTCTATGAGTGAGGTCTTTTGTGTGCTGTAAAGTGCAGGCACCACACAAGATGTGCGGAATCTCTCTCTCCTGTATCAGCTCTGTGATTGCCAACAAAGATTGAATGCTGTGGGCTGCTCCTCAGTAAGGACAATAAGATTCCTCTCCTCTGTGCAGCTGTATATTTTGGTGAAACTTGCAGGTACTTTGGTTTCGGGCTGGGGAAACTGAATTGAAATGTGTGAAGAGAAAGCTGGCGATGACAGTGTTGGATGAGCTTCGCTGCCTCTGGTACCAGGCTACAACCGCTCCAGAGCCAAGTCTGGCTGCCAGTGTTTCAGCCTCCACCAGCAACATCCCAGGCTGTGGGAAATGATTTCCAGTCTCACTTTCTTCAGGTAGCCCCTCCTCAATCCCAAATGATGCGTGCCTGGGCTGTTTACACATGACAGATGTTGCTCTGTTCCCACCTAGGTTATCTCCCTGGAGGAATTCCATATTTCATAAGTGCTGTTTTCAATGTGAAAATACAAACAAAATCCAAATTATGCTCTGTAAAATATGGATGCTGCCTCAACTCAGCTAATGGTAGTGCTCAGAGTTATGCTATATTTATTGCTGCTGCTGAAGTGTCTTGCTGTTGGAGATGATGTGAACAGCTTTGTTTTGCTGAGTTGTCTCCTTTTCTCCCCACAGTACTGACATAGTGAATATCCAGAAATCCACAGTGCCTGTACATACCTTTTTACATATAGCCATAAACTCTCTAGAGTCTCTCTCAGCAGTATTGGGGCTTTTTCAGTATTTCAGAGCATGGCTCTCAGTTGCTGGGTTGGGTTTTTTTTGTTTTGGTTTGCGGTTTTTTTTGTTGTTGGTGGTGGTTTTTTTGGTTTTATTGGTTGGTTGTTTTTTTGGGTTTTTTTTAAGCTTTAGCTGCTGGAATCCAGGGTTTGCAGATGAGTTTTTCTGTCCCTCAGAGAAAATACCAGACATTTCTCATTCTCTTGATTGTACAGGAAAACTGGAAAATAATATTTGAAGTTCCAATCCAGAAGGATTAGAACCTTTAAGGAAAATGTTAGGAGCCCCCAAATTACTTGGTTTAAGATCTCCTCTGTCCCCACATGCCCATGGCTCTTGGAGAAAACTGGGTCAGGGATGCTAAGGGAGGTGAGTGGTAATTTGCATCTCAACTGTTCTGGCCCTCCTTTGATTGACTCCAAAGGAATTATGTATCTTCTCACATAAAAAAAGTCCTCTGCACTCCTGCCTTTGCTTCCATCTCTGCAGGCATCTCTGGCACCCCTACTCCCACTCTCTGTTTGATCAAAGCTTCCCCTCTTCTCCTTTTATCATTTTTAAAGCATGCCTGCTTTAGACTCTCTGCCTCCTCTGCTGCAGCACATGCCCAGAGTCACCTCCCAGCCAAATGTGCTTCGAGTTCCCCGTGCCTTTTCCATCAAGAGCCTTTATGTGGGACAGCCAAAGTAGTCCCCCAAGAAAGGAGAAGTCATCTCAGGAGAAACTCAGAGTGGAGACTGAGAGCTGGCTGCAGACCTCCTTCTCTTCTTTTGCAGATCTCTGAAGAGTAGACTAGAGAGGTAAGATTTGTGATGTGTGTGGGGCATGAATGGGGCTCCTGTTCTGTCATGCAAAACTACTTGAAAAGCCACAAACAGAGCATGATGGGCAATGGCAGAACGCACTGGCACTTGGAGTTTCAGTGCTTCTTGTTGGCCTTGCCGTGAGCTGTTCTCTTCTGCCTATGAAGCTTTTTTTCTGCATTACAATTCATTGACAGGAGAGAGACAAGTGCTTTGTGATCTCATCCCTCTGTCAAAGCCCTTTGGACAGCACCATATAAATACTGGATGGATGGATGGATGGATGGATGGATGGATGGATGGATGGATGGATGGATGGATGGATACAGCCAGGTGGAGCAGTTGTGACCTTGTCTCCTGACTCTGTGCCACTCTTGTGCACCACCCTGTAACCCTGAGGGTTGTTTGTGGAACAGGTCCAGTTGGCATCACCATGTTCAACTACTTAGAATGTATCAAGGAAAGAGTTTAAGGAAACAAAAGCAACCGGTGACCACCTGGATGCCTGTAACAGCTCCCTGCAGCAATGACACTGCATGATGGTTGTTCGGGTTTTTGTAAATTTTATTCCAGGATCACAGGGACTTGCTTGGTAAAGTGCTGATGTCTACTACCTTTCTACTCCTAAATCCCCCCCAAGTTATGCCTACCAGCCTGTTCTTACTAGCCTCCAGTCATGGAGACCCTGGTGCTTGGCCAGGCAATCTACTTGAGTAATTAACTGTCTGTTCTGTTAGAAAGTGTTTCCTAATGTCTAACATCAATCTTACTCTTTGTAATTTAAACCCCATTACTCCTTGCCCTAATTCCCAGTGGCATCAGCAAACGATTCTGCCCTCATCCCACTGCCTTACGCACCAACTAGAGAAAGTCTCAGGCCAATCTATGGCATGGCCTCTGCCCGCCCAGGTGGCTCCCCTGAGCACGGTCACACAAGCACAGGGGAAAACAGAAAGGAAAGATCTTTTGGCACAGTTCGCTGATAGAAATGAGACCCTTAGGAAGCACCTGGATTTGTGATGGCTGGCTGTGAGCCCGAAGGGAGTGGGGCAGTAGGATGGGTTTGTGGCATGTGCCTCCTGTTCTCTCCTACTGCACTGGGGGTGCCTGCAGTACCCAGGGGTGCTTGGGCAGGCGGGAAGACCGGCTGCAGGGCACCAGTGAAACTTGTAAACCTCGCCAGGGGAGAGGTTTCATCCATGGTGAGAGACCCTGTCTACATCCCTGCCTGCAGTGCACACCCCATCCTGCTGTCCCTGCAGCCTGTGGGGCTGCCCCACCTCGTCCGGCTGTGCCACCAATGTACGTCACTTTGCGCAACCGGAGCGATGCAGCCCCCCGGGGCCGATCCTCGTCACCTCCTGCCCCCCATACAGACTTTCTCCTTTAAGCCTAGCTAGCTCAGAAATGACCAGGCTGATCCCTCCCACCTGCCCGCTCCCCCTGGCCCGGCCCTGACGTCAGGGGAAGGCGTGCGGATGCGTGTGTGTTCGAGGCGCACATCATCCACACATCAGATACCGCAGATCCATCAGCCGGCAGGCAGCCAGCCGAGAAAGCCCCCGGAGCTGGGCTGCAGGCGAGACCGCTGCTCCTCGCAAGGCAGCGGAGGAGCGTCCAGCCCCTCCGAGCACCGATGCTCTGCAGAGCGCAGCTCCAGGGAGCCCGTCGCTGCTAAGGAGGTGAGTAAGGGGAGGCACAATGGCCAGACAGCGCTCCCGGGCTATTGTAGCTGGAGATTAAACTTCACGGACCACCTTTTTCTCTGAAACCTGCATTTTTCTTTTGACGGTGGACAGGTGCGAGGATGAAGCGTGACTTCCCACCTCCGGTTTGATTATTCCCCACCAACCTCAGGAACAATAACTCCCCTGGGGGTGGCGGCGGCAATGTTGCACGTCTGCTTTGGCTTGGGGGCAAATAATCCAGGGCTTTACCACGGAGGGCTGAGCTCAGCTGGGATCCAGCTCTCTGATTGCCGAGTGAGCGGGAGGCAATTTGTGAAAAAATCTGACTTATTAAAGTAGGCTGATAGTGATGGGGGCTGGAATTGGGATTTCTTTGGGCTGGCTGCACTATTCCTGCCGATGGCAAGTTAGATCCACAAAGGAGGAAGGAAGGACACAGAAGAAGATGTTTGTGCCAGGTCTTTGAACAGATGCTATGCTAATTAAAAAAAACAAAACAAAAACCATCACAGGAAAGCAAACAAATCTCAAACTTAGCATTTGGAAATGAAGATTATGCATACAAGCTTAAAAGATAAATCAAGCCTCCATGATGGTTTCTCCCTTTGCTTCTCCTTTGCATCTGTCAGCCTTCTTGTTGTCCCTCATGGCCTCCCTGAGAACTGGGCAGCCCAGCTCCCCATAAGGGAGCTTTTTATAATCAATCTATAAAGGTGACATTCATATTTTAGCGCTAAGCATGCTGTATCGTAGGCGAGACTATCTCAGCAAAGATCTCTGGAGTTGGGAGAATGATTGGCTTAGCTGGGGAGGGGATGCTGTCAGTGTGCATTGCCCAAAAACCGCCTAGTTTTATTTTTCCTATAGTAATTTTTTTCTCATCAAATGGGTTTGTAATAGGCAGGGTAGGTGAGAAAATTGCTTTGCTTGGTATTTAACTCTTAACATGATCTGGTAACTAAAAATGGGAGAGGGGGGAGCTGAGAGGCTTTCATTAGCGTCGGACAGAGACAGCATTTATAAAAATCTGCCAGACACAAGGCTGTGAGCCTTCTCTGAGGAAGGAAGGATGGAGAAACATAGCCCAGCCAGCGTTGCGGTGGCCCTGCTCGCGGTAACCCCTGCCTGGAGCCGTCGTCGTTCCCCAGATGGTTCCTGCCCTTCATGGCAGCCCCCCTGGGTTCTCTACTGGTCACTATGTTGTTGGGTCCCTCGGCAGCAGCCGAAAAATGGGATTTTTGTTTTTGAATTGAGCTCTGGGGACACGCTCACGCATCTGGAGGGGTGTAGCTCTTCTCTGTTTCAGCCTGTGTCTAGACAAGCTAGGTCTGGGGGGGCATCAGCCTCCCTGAGAATGGCAGCGGGCCAGAGCATTGCTTTCTGTGCTCCATAGGGTGAGGAGATGGCTGCTGGCAGCTGGCTGTGGAGATGGGGTGTCTTTTTGACATACAGAGACCTTTTTTCCACTGGGGCAGATTTAGAAGGGTAGTAAACCTGACTCCTGAGCTGGGGCCACCAGCAGTTGCAAGGGATGGAGAAAAGGTGATGATGTCGAGTGGCATGGAAGAGCCCGTGCAGGAGATTGCTGCAAAAGGCAGCCGAAGGAAAATACCTCCAGCTCCTTGGCTGGGGCGCGGGGAGCAATGGCACTCGGGAGAGCCGACTGTGGTGGCAGGCAGCATCCGAGCTGCGGATTTACAAAGAGAAGCGGCAGCGTGAAAGGGAGCTGCCCATAAAGGCGACGGTCTGGCCAACCGAAGGGTCACGTCCAGAGCCGGAGCGTGACGGCCGCCAGCAAAGCGGCCACCCATCCGCCAATCCATCCTGGGCATCCCGGGGGTTCCAGCGGATGGGAAAGAGCACAAAGAAACGCCGCACGGGAGGGCCGACTCACCGAGGGCGATTAAGCTAATTAAATATGTATTCCCCCGCCCGGGCGAGGGAGCGTGAGGATTTTTTTTTTTTTCCGCTGCCACTAATGAACGGGGAGTGGCAGACAGGGGCTGGTGCCTCTTCAAAAGGCTCTTTCCCCCCTTCTAGGGGACCTTGAAAGGCTGTTTAGTTAAACAAGGTCACAGCCAGCACCCAAGTCAATGTGTTTGGCTTTAAAGAAGGGGAAAGAGACAGTGATTTTATTTGATAAACCGCAGACCTTTCAGTCGCTGCCGATGAATGGGGTACTTGGATCTCGAGATAAAAGCTGATGTGTCTACTGCCTGTCTGCCTTAATTGGCCTAGGTTTCCTGCCTCCGCCTGCAAGGGCTTCTGACTGTCAGCTCCGCTTGCTCAGGAGCCTGCCCACCAAAAAATATAAAAGCAAAGCTGGCTTCTGCTGCCAAAGAAGACCCTGTCACCAGAGGGCTCTGGGGTTTGGCTTTGAGATGTTTTTTGGAGGGGGAGGAGGGAAGGTGGACAGGGTAGGAGCTGTTTTTTATAAAGAGCATCCTTCCAGGTGGCCCTGGGTTTGCAGCCACTTGCCTCCTTGGCTCGGAAGACTGTCACCCCGGGAGACCCTCGGAGCAAAGCCACCAAGAGGAGACAGGGAGGAGCGAGGTGGAGGTCCAGCAGTGGCGGAGGAGGGTGGCTATGCTGGAAAGGCTTCCCATGCCCCACGGCAGAGCCGGGCTTCTGCAGTCTCCGCTTGCTTCCTCAAGTGACCCGGATTTTGTCCCTGCACTCTATACGTGCCTGGAGTGGACATAGTGTCGTGGGGTGGTGTCAGCCAGGTCTGGAGAGACCTGAGGTGGGGAGAGATACTCTCATGTCCAGCAGAGATTACTGTGAGCACAGGAGATTGAGGAGAGGGTGAAAATGCCTCTTGTGCCGAGGTACTGCCTCCTTGCCCTCTGCTGGCGCTGCATCACGGAGAAATGGTTGGGGAGAGGATGGTGGGGTGGAGAGCAGAGAGGGAAGGAGGACAGTAGAGGTTTTCCCTGATCTGCATCTGGGCTGGGATGGGAGGAGACACTGGCGAAGATATGCTTGTGTCCCCATTCTTCTCTCAGCCTGCTTTTGCCCTGAGTTTAATTTCCTCAGTCTCTTTGTTTGCAGCAGGGATTTAAATGAAGTGGGAGGTAGGATACGGCCCTGGAGTCCCTCATGTGCCAAAGCTCTTATTCAGTCTCAGCTTCACCAGCACCACCAAAGCCAGGAATTCAGCTGCTGGGCACCAAGGCTGACCAACAAAGCTGGGACGCTTGATCCAGGTGCTGAAGGGGGGCAGAGTGCTGCCGGCTGAGCGAGACAGCCTCGGCATGGCCCCAGGGCAGGGATCTCTGCTCCAGCCCTTGCTCCAAGCAGGAGATAGAGCAGGCAGCTCTGTGACGCGTCCAGGCAGTGCATTTGTGAAGGATGTGGATCCCACAGCCTTGCTGTGCCCTGTCCCTGTGTTTATCCCAGTGAGCTCCCACCCTACACCGGGGCTCCCCCACAGCATCTCCATGGGCCATCCAGAGAACCCTCAGAGTGCCTGTGGGAAATTGCACCTCGCTTGTTCTCCCACAAGGAGCAAGCTCATCACCTGGAGGCAAACAGCAGCCCAGGAGAGCACCCTCTGCTGCTGCCCCCTCTGTCTCAGGAGCAGACCGTCTGCCTCCTCAGCAGTGCCCAGCACGGTCCCATTCTTCACCACCACTCGACCCCTAAAACAGGGAGCCTTCCACGGCACCTGACCCTCGCTGGTCCCACAGGTTAACCTAGGGCAAACCTGCTCTTGGTTGCCACTTCACCAGCCCACACCGTTTTGTCCCTGCAAGCTCTCCCTCCTGCACCACCCCCTTGCCTCTTATTTTAATTTTGCCTCTGGGAAACTTCAATTTTTCCAGCCCCTTGTGGATGCCAACCAACTCCCTCAGCATACTAATAGTTTGCTCCAAGCATCCTTATTCAGGTTACATACCCTCCATTGTCCCTAAGCTGGTGGGGGAACAGAAAGGCCTCCTCTGTCAGAGAAAGCCTCACAGAGGAGGCGCACCATGGTGAAGCCATTTTCATAGTGACGGCTTCATGATGTGGCAGACAGCTGAGGGCCATTTCCCCCAAATCATCTCACTCCTCCAATCCTGACACCTCCTGGGAAGGTGACAAACCCCGCAACAATGCATGGGGATGACATAACTTTTTGCTGTCCTACAGTGGCCAGGCTGTTCCCCAGCACAGGCAGGGCAGTCAAATGGGGACAGATAGGAGCTGTGAAGCAATTTGGTGTCTGATCTGGCACTGGGGTGTCTTGCTTGGGTGCTCCCTGAGCCTCTCTGAGCTCCTTAGGCATGGAAGAAGGAGATGGTGAGCCTGAGCCTGGGAATGGGAGAAGGAGATGCTGCGCCAGGGTTTGGGAGAAATAGATGCTGAACCTGGGCATAGAGGCAGGAAATGCTGAGCCTGTCAGGCCAGCAGCTGAGCAGCTCCTGTGTGGGGTGGGATGCAGAGCAAAGGCAGATGTGCATGTGTTAGTTGCTGCATAGAGGAGAGGAGCCACTGAAGCACAGGAAGGGTTTGGTGTGGAGGTGGGTGGGGAGCCAGGAAAGGGGAAGATGGTTTGGAGGGGTTTACAGCCACAACTGGAAGTTGTCTCAGAGGGCAGAAGGAATGGGATGGTTTCTGCCTTGGAGTAGGCCTCTAGTTTGGTCCTTACTGCCTGGGCCTGGAGGTGAAGCTCTGCAGGGCTGAGAGGGGGTAGCTGTGAGGAAGCTGGCTAAGGCCCATATGGCAGAATCCAAGCTGGTCTCTCCTTGAAACTTCAACTGCTCTAGAAATCTTTTCCCATGTCCTTGGTGCCTGCTAATTTCAGAGTCAAGGTGACCCCCTTTTGTGCATCCCCCCAGGGCCTTTGTGTCTCAAAAGGCCACAGTGAATCAGAAGAGAAATTAAATATTCTCTGTGTTTCCTGGTGTGTGCAGGTGTTGTCCCAAAAGATGCTGCATGCCCCAGCGGGGTGGAAAAGGGCTGATGGGGGTGCTGGGGAAGGGGATGATAACTCCATGGGATATTGGGTTCCTCAGCTCCAGGTGATGGAAACTCCTGAGCCTGAGGAGCAATGGAAATGGGTGAGCCCCCACCCAGTGCACCCAAAGAAAGGTGCCCTCAAGCATCTCCCTGGCATGGGGCACCCTGGGACAGAGGCACCAGCGTCAGATGCAGCAAACGATTGGAATAAAATCAACAGAGCAAGGCCTTTCTGAGCAAGCCTTTCTGATCACACATCAGAGCATTTGGGAGGCTTAAAAATGCACAGCCCCTCCAATTTCATGCTGAGGTGCTTCAGCAATGACAAGAGTGCCCACAATTGTGATTGCTCCATCTGCAGGCTTTCTGCCCCTTAGGGCTTTAACTCCTTGCAAACGGCATGATGCCTTCAGAAACTGGAGCCTGATGATGGCGGCAGCAGGAGGTTGTGCTTGTCTAGTGGCTCAGCTGAGGTGCCTGAAAGGCATGAGGGCTGCTGGCAGCCTCACCACATTCTCCTGGTGTTCCTTCTTCCTGTGGGAATGTACCTGGATGGGAAGCAGCTGCTGGTTGGGGCTGGGGTTCTGTCCTAAATCCTATGGGGCTGAAGCAACCTCCTGTGCTGAGAAGACCTCAGACCCCTGACCTTGATGTACTGACCTGTTGTCTCAGCCTTTTTTCTTCACTTTTTTATCAGAAATCTCAGAATGGGGGAAGTTCTCAGAGTCTGGGACTAGAGGCCTAGGCATGCTGGCACTGCATTGGCATCCTTCCCAAAATGGTCCCTGCCCGTGGCAGCCCATCCTCCACTACTTCTTTTCCCAGGGTGTGCTTTTTAGTGACTTCATCTCAAACATGTGGGATTATCCTGGCAATTGAAAGGTTGAACAAACCAGGTACTTCCCTTGGGGTTGATTTTCTCGAACATCCCAGATGACTCTAAGCTAGGACAGGCTTCCTGAGGCAATTCCCAGTGCTGGAGGTTGGTGTACAACGCTGAAGGCTGGCAGCGTGCTCCCTGCTCCCACAAATGGCTGGGAGCCAAGGGACAATTCCTGACAGCAAATTGTTCCAGAAGCCTCACAGAAGGCCCTGTAACCCCCAGCCCCTTTTGCTCCCCAGGTGACCAGCAGTAGGCCCATACGACTGGGCATCCTTTCTCCTGCTGCACACCCACCCGATCCCAAAACGGAGGAGCCCACCGACCCCACCATGTCATCGGACCCCAGCGCCCCGCCAGCAGTGCCACCCCTGCACTCCCCCAAGTCGCCGGTGTGGCCCACCTTCCCCTTCCAGCGGGAGGGCAGCCGCATCTGGGAGCGAGGCAACCTCTTGCTACGGGATCTGCCCAGCCCCCTCCCCACCAAGAGGACCAGGACCTACTCGGCGTAAGTACCCGGCGGGTTTGGGACTGTCCAGTTGAGCCGTGGTCACCTGCAGTGCCTGCAGAGCCCTTGGCACCTGGTGCACTTTGCCAACGCCGTGCCCAGCATTACTGCACACACCTGCCCAGAGTGCTGTGGGTGGGTGCCATGCACTTGGCCCGGAACCATCGTGTTCATAGCAAAGATCTCTCCCTGTGCCGCCTCCTGGGCAAGTGCCACCAGTGATAAATCTTCCCTTTCCTCCTGTAGGACAGCGCGTGCCTCCGCTGGCCCCATCTTCAAGGGTGTCTGCAAGCAGTTCTCTCGCTCCCAGGGCCACGGGTTTATCACCCCAGAGAATGGCACTGAGGACATTTTCGTGCATGTGTCTGAGTAAGTCCCAGGGCTGTGCGGTGCCAGAAGACCCCAGGGGAGCGATGCCATCAGCATGGGGCTGGAGACGTGTGGGCTGGGGTGTGGATGTCTCCATGGGGTGGACATGGGTCTCTGCTTGTCCTGTACCCTCCATCACCTGTGGGTTTTATTTTTCAAGGCACAACTGGTGGGTCAGGTTCCTTCCTTCATTCTGGGTGGTCAGGGGCAGGGGTCCATCTCTTGGCTGCCACACTACCACCACCACCTCTCCTTTCCTCTCCTGCAGCATTGAGGGAGAGTACGTCCCAGTGGAGGGGGATGAGGTGACGTACAAGGTCTGCCCCATCCCTCCCAAGAACCAGAAGTTCCAGGCAGTGGAGGTGGTCCTCACCAACCTGGCACCCCACACGAAGCACGAGACATGGTCTGGCCAGATCATCGGCTCCTAGGCGCCCAGGGGGCCGCCAGCCACTCAGCCCCATGGAGCAAGCCTGCCCAGCCGCTCGCAAGGGGTGTGGGGGGAGCCGAGGCAGCGGCGGGGCCGGGGCTGCCCCCAAACATGCAGGCGTTTGCGTTCAGTGTCTTTTATAAGGTTATGGTTTCCTTTCTCTGTGTGTGTTTGTAAGTGTCTGTCTAGGGGACAGGGGAAGCAGAGCCCTCCCTGACTGTCCCCCAGCTCCGGGGCAGCACTGAGCCCCATGTTCCATTACTTGCTCCTGAGGCCATGGGGAACAGAGGAACCAGTCCTACGCCCCAGCCCTCCAGCTCTAGCGGGCTGAAGCAGGTGCTGAGAGCAGGAGAGGGTGGGGAGAGCCTGGGTGGCTCGGCTCATCCTCCTGAACTTCACTCTGGCAAGATGGGCACCCCACTTGGTCCACAGTGGGACGGCAGCAGTGGGACATGTCCTGGTGCAGGGACAACAGGGTGGTGTGGGGTGGCATATCACTGTGCGGGGTCTGGGTGGCTGAGACTCATCCCCATCTCTGGCAGCTCACAGCACCCACCTGAGCCACATCCCTCCACATGATCTCAGGTCAGCAGTGCCACAGGGAGGTGACTGGTCTATAGAAAGCAAAAATTTAGTTTTAAGAGGCAGACAGCTGCTGACAGGGCACCCGGGCTGTACCCGGGCATGGGGCAGGTGGCACTTGGCCCCTCTGTGTTCCCCACTGCTGCTGGGCAGTTACGCACTTTTCTTGGCTCAGTACTGACATGGTTTTGGGGAGACAGACACTTTCTCCTCTTTCTCTTTTCCCCCAGCCCCCTGGGAACCTCCTTCCCACGTATGTGTGTGTGTGTGTGTGTGTGTGTGTGTGCGTGCATGTCTGTAGCTTGCTGGGGTGGTGAGGGGCTGAGGGGTCTGAGCAGCCTCGGCCATGGGGCGAGTGCAGCCACCTCTTCCCCAGCCCCTCGGTGTAGGCAGGGTCTTGTATACGAAGCACAAACTTTGTTTTGGTCTTTTCTGCCATACCCTGGCCACGTGGGCTCCCATAGCCCCAGGGAGCAACAGGGCAGAGGGCACTGGGACAGGGACAACATGCACTGGGCTGGTCCTGAGCTCACCCCAGGGAAATGGTGCTGATGCTCCAGGAATTACCAGCATCTTAAGGGGTTCAAAGCAGGGTTGGGGACGGGGGGTGCCAGCAGGTTCCCCTGATCAGGGCAGGAGGTGACAGGCAGCTCCCTTATCACTGTGCCAGCAGGAGCTGCTGGCACTGCTGGTGCTCAGCATGGATGGAGTGGGGTGTTTGCCACCTTTTTTTGCTGCTGCTGTTGCTGACAGGGGTAAATGGGGAGAGAAGCAGAGCAAGGCTGGTGCCGTGCAGGACAAGCTGGGCCGTGCGGATTCGGGAGGACCACCCATACTGGTGTGGGGATTGCCCTGGGACCCTCCGGCCCCTCTCACTGCCAACCTGAAGCCTGGCTCTCCCAGGGGCTGTGGCAACTGTGGCTCAGGCTCTAGCCATCCCCAGGACATGCAGTCAGCTTGGCCAAGGCAAACTGTTGGATTTTTTTTTTTTTAAATAAACTAAAACCCTAGACTTGTTGGTGTTTTTACAACTCTAGTGTGGTTCCGCCTGTCTGACCATGAGTCAACCTTTGTAACATTGGCAATAAACCATTAAAAGTGACTTTCCCATGAGCCCTGCCCATCCTGGCTCTTTGTCCTATGTGCATGTGTCACAGTGATTCTGTCAGGTAAAGTACCTGGAGCACCCAGGAATTTATCAAGACATCAGAATGGACTCACCCACAGTATGTCCCTGTATGTCCCACACTCTGGGCCTGGGATAGGAGGCTGCTGCTCACCCTGAGGGGTGACCAGGAGTGGGACTGGTCTCCCCTGCTGTGGGACTTTGAAGTATGTCTTGCCTGTTGTCTGGCTGCCTTTCACCCCACACAGCCCAGCACAAACCACACACCGCCTCCAACTGCTGCGTGTTGTGGCTTTAATAGGATTGATTTTAATTTCTTTAATATACATACCTATGTATTTAAATATATTTCTCATTTAACAGTTGTCATCAGCCAGATAGGAGCTGCCCATCTCACACTGATATGAATCCATACAGCAGGACAGTCCTGAGCATGGGACCTGCCATGTCTGCTCACTCACATCCATGGGGAGAAATCCCCATTTACGCTGTGGGCACCCACCATGAGAGGAGCATCATGGTAAAGGGGTCTCAGGAACAGCCATGAAATGCCTTTCCTTTCAAAGATGCAAGTCACCCCAAGGCCACCACAATGCCCCACGATGTCAGGGCCAGACCCTGCTCTTCACTCATCACTAGCTCACTAGAGGTCCTTCTGGCTATGAACAGACTTACAGGAAAAATAAACTCCCCAAGACTCACACATAACCTGATCCACAGTGAAACAGAAAGGAAGGAATCACAAAACACATTTCCTCCATGAAGGTTGCAGTGGAGGGCCAAAACCCATGACTGGTGAAAAGGGTATCCTGCATACGAGCTTCTCCAACAGGTCCTCTTCTCCCACACAGAAATCTTCCCTGGGTAGAAAGAGGAATTTGTGGAATTGTTGGGGATATCTGGATGCCAGGCAGACTGCTGTGCTCATGCAAATGTGCTGCATCAGAGATCTGATGTGTTGTAGTTAGGAGGTGCAGTCAGGTGGAGGAGACAGCACCCCACCAGCAATGGTCATACAGTATCCCTGCTCCTGTGGCCAGGCAGCAGTGCCAAGGGCCACCAGGGACTCTGCCCACACCAATGTGGGAGCCCTGCCCTGGGTCTAAAAGCACCAGTGTCTCTCGCCTGAGGAGGATGGTGGTGCCTTGTGTAGGCGGCGGTAGCCAGCTGAGAAACTTCTCTCTGCAGTCCAGCTGCCAGTGGAAAATGGAGAGCCACGATGAGGGAAACTAGGAACAGAAGGAGAGAGAAAACAGGACCAAGAGACGGGGCAGTGCCATACCAGCAAGGACGGGGTGAGGAAGGCTCCTGGAGAACAATGCGGGAGGGTCTGCAGAAACCTCCAACATTCTCCAGGTCCACAAACACCAGATACGTGTACCCTGGGGAGCTACAAGCAGGACATCTCCCTGGAGGGACCCCTGAGCTCCTTTTGAGAACCAAGTTGTGACAAGTGTCAATGCAACTGCCGAGAATAAAAGGACAATGTGATGGAGAAGGTCAATGGCTGTAGGTTTGCAACCCACAAAGATCCAGGGAGAGAAACAGGACATATGACAATTGCACTGGACATCCTGTCTCCCTAAAGGTGAGCTTGTAAACTGAGTGTGTGGGATGAGACGGGGGGAAGAGCCAGCTTTGAGGGCACTGCTGAACAGGTACCTCCAGTAGCTCTATGAACCAGGTATGGCCAGTGTTGGCTCCTGCTGAAAATGTCTCTGGCAGCAGGATGGAAAGCTGAGCACTGGAGAGGGAAGGGGACTTGGTCTGTTACGAATGCCCTGGGTATGGCTTCATAAGGACACATCTGTCTTATGAGGAGAGACCGTGAGAGTTGGGCCTGTTTCGTCTAGAGAAGACTGAGAGAGGATCTCATTAATGCATATAAATATCTCAGAGGCAGATGCCAAGAGGATGGTGCCAAATTCTCTTTGGTGGTGCCCAACAAGATGATGAGCAATGGCCATGAACTATAAAACAGGTGAGGCTCCACTATAACATGAGGAAGAACTTCTTTAAGTTGAGGGTGGCAGAGCACTGGAACAGGCTGCCCAGGGAGACTGGGGAGTTTCCCGTTCTGGAGACATTCAAAACCCACCTGGCCACATTCTTGTTACCTGCTCAGAGTGACCATGCCTTGGCAGGAGGGTTGGACTAGATGATTTCGAGAGGTCTCTTCCAACCCTAACAATTCTGTGATGCACAATTCCAACAGGAGTGGGAAGAGCACTGGAAAGCTGCCTACCCCAAAATGTTCCATAGCATGAAGTGCCAGGATCCTCCGGCTGTGCCAGACAAGGTCTGACTTGAAAACAGAGTAATATGGAAAATAAACCCGAGGTGTTTTCTGTAAGCTAAAGAGAAGAATTGTTTTCTTCATGGACCCAAACAAAGCTCAGAGCAGCAGCCCAGTCATGTTAAAGCTATCGTTCCCAGGTCATCTGCAGGGAGGGACTGGCACACTGTGGCAGTGAGGGGAAGGACATAGTGACCTCTCCATTAGAAAGCACAATGGTGCAACAAGCTGGGATCTCAGCTGCTCCCCCTACCATAGGCTTGAAGCAAACAGTCTTTCCGGCCTCCTGCAAAGGAGCAGCTCTGGTGAATGCCTCGAGCCTCAGCAGTCCCAGCCTCTCTGGCCAAGGTGCAAGGGGGAGAGAAAGGTGAGCCACACGTTCCCTCATGCACAAGTGTTAAGAGAAACCGAGTGGAAAAGGAGAGGAGACGGAGTGCAGGACGGATGCACACTCACTCTTTGGCCCTTTCAAATGCTTTCCGACCACAAAAGCATCTGCATCACTAACCACCACAGCTGAGCTGTCGAGAGAAGTTTCTCTGGAGGCGAGGAGGGTCTGGTGCCGTGACCCCACACACGGGGAGTGCTCAGCCAAGGCCCCCTCCTGCCACCCACCCACACTCACGTGTGACATCCTGACCAGCTCTGTCGAGTGTTGTTTTGGTCTACCCTGAGCAGATTCCTCAAATGAAGGTGCTTTTCCTGGTGGGGGGAGAGGGTGGGACCGGGGTAGGGCTGCAGGGACTGGGCAGTCAGCACTCGTTTGCTCTTTCTGGAAAGAAGATTTCGCGGCATCGCTGGACTGTGTCCTGGGGGGACTGGACACTGTGTCCTACAGTGCGGGGATCATCATAGATTTCATAATCGTTCCCTCCCTGCAGGGGAATAGAAAATAGGGACAGCATTAGCAGGGTCTTGCCAGAACAACCTCATCCATAAATCCACATTTTGCTTTGTCCTGTGGGGAGCTGGGCTGGGAGCCAGTGGCTGTGCAGGCAGGGATTTGCAGGCCCAGGGGTCAGAGAGGCTGGGCTGGGAGCTCTGCTTGCTCCCTCCCTCCCTCTTGTCTCCCCCTTCAGTACCAGGGGAGGAGCATAGAAGAGATGGGGAAGGTCACAGATCAGCAGAGCTTGTCCAGGAGTCTGGGTTAACTCCAAACTGCCTGTGGAGGGGCTAGCAGAAGGTGGGATTGGCACATTTGGGGAGCAGAGGCTGCCAGCATCTGGGAAGAGCTGAGTGGATGACCAAGCTGATCTACAGCAGTAAGGAAGTATCATCCCCACTGCTCTAAAGGGAAAGTGAAGTTGTTCTTGCTGTTGAGGAGTCTTCTCCTAAGTGCTGGAGGCTTGTGTTCTGGGTCATGCAGGTCACAGGAGTGGCTGCTGCCCTCCTGAGGGTGCTGGGGCAAAGAAAGCAATGCTGAGGTGGACCTGCTTCCCAGCACAGTGAATCCACGGTGATTTCCCCACAAGCCAGCAGAGCCATTATGAGAGCATCGCAAACCCACAGCACAGGGCAGCATCTTCCCCCCCCCCACAGCATTAAAGGTCTGTGTTGGCACCAGTGGGACCCATAATGGAGCATCAGAAGAAAGCAGCCATGTGTGGGGCGAGGGGGGCATACTCACAGGGGTTGTCTCGTTCCCAAAGAAGTGGATGGTGTCAAATCTCTCGTCGTCGAGCACATTGAGGCAGTAGCGCTTGTCCCAGCCTTCCGGGAAGACATCAAAGCTGATCATGCCACCTGCCAGGAGAAGGAAGGGCATCAGGCAACGATGGACAGGGGATGGACGTCTCGTGGGAGTCCCCACCCCAAACAGCAGCCACAAACACCAGCTCTGCCTTGGTGTTCCTCTTGGCACATGGCTAGGATAATGGCAGAGGCTGTTCCTATGACAACAGGCTGCAGTGACATCAGCATGGCTGGGGTGACATTAGCACAGCTTCCCTGCAGGCAAGCATGAACCATTGTGTTCTTCCCGAGAGAGGCATCTTTTGGGGACAGAGTTTGGGTCATGCCTTGCACCAGCACATTCTGTGTCCCAGTACAAGACAATGACCATGGAGACTGGCACCAAACTCTCTCCCAGGCTCCTGCTAGACATCGCTGGCCCTTCTAACACCACTCTTCTGATGCTTCTTAACTGTGCAGGGACTGGGGTCTCCTGCAGGCTGTCTCTGCACATTGATCAAGGACCTTGCCATGGAGGTACACGAATCCATTGACATAATCAGGGCACGACCCTGACCTGTCACCTCTTGACACAATGAGGATTGTCAACATCTGGAGAGGCACCAATTCACATGTGACCAACAAGCAAGGGAGCTTTCCCAGAGAACATGTATATGGATATGGACACCCACAGCCACCAAAGGTTAACACACTTTCTAGCCCATGCTCTTAGACCAGGCAGAGTTTACCCCAGCAGTTCACTGCCTTTTGGGGGTGCTTGGAGGCAGCACCTTCCTCATCCTCTCAAGTTGCCCCACTGTGTCCACAGGCTACAGAGACCCTTGTCCCAGCACCATGTCAGGAGACATACTCTTCACAAAATAAAGCCTGCAACTTAGGGCACATGTATGTTTAGGTTTCACTCAGAGCCAGAGGATTGAGCATATGGGGATTTGAGCTGGTATGTGTGACCTCCTGCCAGTCAGCTTGTCTTCTCCAGGCAATATACTGGAGTATTCACCAGAAATCCTGAAGTTTCACATTCTCCTCCTTAAATGATAATCCTACCTCTCTAAGGAAGAGGGTGAGTAGATAGGTAATCACAGGGTCAGTTCCTGCTGAAGGAGAGGCATCAACACCCCAGGTTGCTCAGATATGCAAATCCTGATGCCATGTACTCCCCTTCCTGCCTGTTTGGAGTGACCCTATTGGTTTGGGGATCCTGAACCAAACCTCTTTGGAGCCTGAGAAGATGGGGATGGAGCCTATATGTCCACCTCAGAGCAGAGAAACTGGACAGGGCACTGTGATAGGGATGGGAGCAAGTGCCCTATGAGCTCAGGGGTGGGGATAGCCTCAGGCTTGCAGCAGGATCTGGCATCAGAGCAGGAGCTAAGCTTGGTGACATCCTCTTGTTTTGCACCCAAAGCCATTTACCTGTAAAAAATACTGCATTTCACTGCATTCTAGCCTTCTAAACAGAGCTGGGCAGCAGGAAGGGGCTCCTGATGCCACCTGGAACAGGTAAGAAATCAAAGGGAGAAGACGTGGTGTGAACCAGCTAGCAGTGTTACTCCCCTAGGTAGAGCAGGGCCCTGGGGAGCTGCAGGGAGACCTCCCACCACCTCTGGCCTTGCATCCTCCACAGCCAAGGAGAAGGCACATGGAGCCAGCCTGGCAGAAGAGCTATGTTTCTGCATGCCCTTTTTTCAGATGCCTGACCTGAGACACCCCATATTTTCTTTGTGGAGGAGCAGGAGGTCCACATCTCCCTTTCATGTTTTTATACAACAGGCCTGGGCTCTTCATGGCAGCTTCCCAAAGCCCAAGGAGACAGGCCCAGAGTCCAGCTCTCACACCTGAGGGCACACAGCTGTGAGGACCTTGTCCTTCTCTGCTGTGACAAATGGTGTGTGCCAGTGCTGTGGGCAGCACAGGATGCCCCTGGCAGGGTGCTAAAGGCAAGCAAAGGCTCTCAGAGAAAAGGTCTTGTAGGATCAGAGGGCGTGGGGTGTCACCCACTGCCTCAGTCTTACCACCCCCTTGCCCTTTGGCTGGGCTGCCATATGGAATGTTCTTATCTCTCACCCCTGAAGAGGATCCTCTTCCAGCATCATCCTCACAACCCACACACCCTCGTTTTCCTCCCTGTCCTGGCCAGACACCCAGGATTGCTCAAGCCCCTCCTTCAGCTCCACACCTTTGGTAAGCTGGCTGTCAGAACCATCCCAAGAAGAAGCCCTACAAAAGCCCATGGCAGGGAGCTGCAATCTTCTGACCCCTTGTCAGCTCTCCTTCCAGGAAGAAAGATGTTTCCCTGGCAGCTAACTGCCCAAGAAAACCCCAGAGCCAAGACATGCATTAGGCTCCTGTCCCATTCCTAGAGAAGAGTCCATGTGCCTGGGGCTCTGCTGGCCCCCCTGCTGCTGATGCTTGAGCCAGAACAGATCCATTGGGCAGCAGTGGGTTCCACTAACTGAGATTAAGGCAGGGATAATGTCAGAGGATGGAAACCTGCCTGTCTGGCCAATTCCCAGGGAGGGAAGTCTGCAGCATGGCCTAGTCTCTGCTTGGATGCAGACGTCATGGATGCAAATGTGACTCTCCTGTGGCAGCTCTCCAGGACTAAAAGCTGCTTCTGCTCATCCCAGGGTTTCCAGACACTCAGAGTGAACAGTTGGGATTCCTGCTCCCCTTCACAGAATTTTATGGGAAACATGATAAAGGCAAAGCCAAGGAAGCCCTCCCTGCTCACCTCGAGAGAAACGCAGGCCTTTGCCAGCAAATTCCCTCTGCAAGGCTGCCACAAACTTCTCCCGTATCCGCTCTTTCTGTGGAGGATAAGGAGGAAAGGGAAGAAAAGAGGGTTTGAATAATTAGATGTTGACAGTTTCCCAAAATCCAACATGACTTGTCTGCTGGGCAACTCTGTTCCCTCCCTACCTGCACTGGGCCCCAGTGACATTGCATTTAGCCAGCTTCCACCAGTCCTGCCCAGTGTCCAAGTAGACCACCAGCTCACTCCACTGGGAGGAGCAGATCCCAGATCTTCCTCGGCAATGAAATGCAACTGCTTCTGTTTCCCACAGCCCATTTCATAACCCAAAGCCTCCAGTTTTGCTTAAAACAGCTTGCAAAGACCAGCTGATCCCTCAACCCCAAGAAAGCTCCCCCAGGCAGAAACTGGTATAAGCATGGGCCAAATCCTCTAGAGAACTGCCCAGCAGATCTGCCATGGCCCTCCCAGTTTGGAAAGCCCATTAGTTCCAGCTCTGTTGGGGCTGGGGAAGTAGGAGAGAGAGGACAGCTGCTGGGCCATCTCTGGGTACTGTGAATGAGGAAACATAGTGTTAAATAACTGCTTCATTCCCTGGGGCTCTCCCATAGCACAGGGAATCTTGCTGGCCACCCCCTTGCATTGGTGGTCCCCATGGAAATCAAATTTCTTCCATTCATCTGTGTCTTCCCCTGGGTTTCCTGGTTCCCAGTCCTGTCTCCACCTTGTTGCATATGCACAGCTCGAAGCTGGATCTCCCTTCTCCTTGGGGAGGGGGGGAGCATGTAAGACCTGAGATCAGTGGTCATGCAAAACCAGCCAAGAGGAGGTGAGCCTGGCCCTTGTACCTTGTCCAGCTCGGAGAACTCGATTCGCTCCTCCGGGGTGCAGCTCCGACCAATGGGAGAGATGTTCAACATTCCATTGCGAAACTCAATGAAGGTCCCTCTGTGGGTGGGCAAAGGCACAAAGTTACTGGGGCACAGAGAGAAAAACAACCTTTCCAGGAGAATGGCTGCTTAGCGAGGCTCTGCAAGAACATGCAGGAGGAGAGAAGCCATGCCCACTCCTGAGTGTGTCACAACAGGCGCAGATCAGCCATCAACAACTGCTTAGGGAACTCAAATTTTTTATGAAAAGAGGCTGTGACAGACGAGAAATAAGCAGTCCCTCTGTGCCTTGGGGATGAGCTGGAAGCAACGAGCTTAGGGGACATGACAGTTAACATTTTCTAAGGTTGTGATAACTGCAAGGACAGCTATTGCCTGGCCTGGACCAGCTGCCTGATGAGGCTGTGGCACCTTTACTCCATGAGGCTCAAGAAATGCTGTGTGGGCTGGGTGAAGCTGGCAGTACCTTGGAGCAGTGGGATGGTCAGTATAACTCGCTGTTCATGTCCGGCAGCAGGCTGAGGAGCAATCAGGGCCTCCTCAAGGGACACAAATCAGGGTCTTTGTATCTCTCTTTTGACCCCTACACCTTTGACTGCAGCTCTTATCTAAGCCTGCACAGACAGGATCCAGTTCCTGCTTGCCACCCTCACTTTGTGCTGGGGTCACTTCTCAGCCAGTTCCTCAGTGGGGTGGTTGAAAGCACTGAGCTGGCAGAAAACTGCTCCCTTCTTTTCTCTCTGGTAAAAACCCAGCTACTTCTGTTTGCTTATCGAGGGGTCAGACAGCTATCCCAGCACTGGTGGGGCAGAAACAACAGGGGATGGCAGCCCTGCCAGTGTGAAAACACATTGAAATTCTTGAGCTGGAGAGGGAGATCCCCTCCCCTGTCCAGCTGAGGACCCCTGAGCTTATCGTCCCTCCCAGCCCTGCCTGCATTTCTCTGTGATAAATTGCTTACCATCCTCAGTCTGGAGGAAAAGTTCTCCCCCTCCTATCTCCTGACACAGTGAAGAACATCATGGAATGGATATACAGGCATCCATGCCTGCAGCCTGGGAGCAGCATCCCTGAGGCACCGAGGGTCTGGTGGCTCATACCCCAGGCTAGGACTCAGGAGATGTGGGTTAAAGTCCTTGTTTTGTTAGAAATCCCAAAAGCCTAAATCCACAGAGCTACTTTGGAACTGAAACTCTGCTAAGGTTGTTAGGTAACCAGACAGCAATGAGGCAACCAAATAGCCTTGAGGATTCTGGGTCCCAGCCCATGCTTTCAGGGGCCTGTTCTTCCAGCAGTCTTGTTGCAAGGAGCCACCCTAGCCCCTCTCACTGGTCCTTGAACTGCCACATGGTGACTCATATTAAGCAACTAATCTGGATCACAGTTTAGCAACTTCTAACAAGTTAATTTCAACCCAACAGCTCACCTGCTTGGGTTCACTGTACAAACACAGAGGGAGAGCAGGAAAAAAAATCAGCCATGGCAAGGAGAGGGCAGAGCTGCTGCTCCCAACAGCCCTGGGTGGCTCATGTATTCTTGAAACTGTGGTCTGGAAACTGAGGTGAAGTTTGACCCTCCATCCAGGCTGGTTTAACTGCAGGCTGCCTCTGAAAGAGGCCCTCCTGCTCCCCCCTTCCACCATCATGCCATTGGTTCTCTCTCTCTTTCTGTGCTCCCAGAGTGAGCTGATCCAATGGAATGGATCCTTTCTCGTCCTGATAGTGGCCTGGTCTTCCTTCAGCAGAGGTGTACCAACCCAGCTCACCCTCCAGCTGCTGGATCTCAAGGGCAAGAGCAGAGAGGAACACAGGGTAGGGAGCAGAGCAGGGCCAGCCAGCGACACTGGGTTAGAAACAGTGTGAAACTCTGTGCTCAAGGGTTGGACTTCCCATCTTAAGATCCATTGTTTGCCTGGTTGGAAACATATACTACCAGTGATGCCTGATGCCCTGACCAGTAACAAGCTGGTACTATTGTCCTAAATGAGATACACACGGCGGCTGTACCCTGCTCGCCAAGTAGGAAAATCCAAGGAGCAAAAGAGCAGGCATTACGCTAAAGCATAGTGCACACTCTTCAGAACAAAGACACTCCTCCATTATTTGCCCAAGGTGCCCAGCTCAGGAAGACAGTGATCCTACACAGTGCCTCTGGATGCTAAGATAAAACCTGGAGCAAGACAAGCTCTGTAGATCAGCTCTTTTTAGGAGAGATCTGAAGCCTAGCTCCCCAGAAATCAGTGCCATGACTTCCACTCGCAAACGCTTGAGCTGTTACCGTTTCTTGGGCAGCTTCAGCAGCGCCATGTAGTTGAGGCAGAAGTTGATCAGATCCTGCAGCAGCTCCTCCCCCAAGTGGTCCTGAATGGCCTGCAGAAAGAGAAGGGCAAGTGAAGATGCTTGACTTCTCATGAAGCCCACCTGGAAGAGGTAGCAAATGGGGAGAAGAGGCTGCTCATCAGCCTGGGTAGGGCAGGAGAGCCATGGCTGCACAGTGAGCTGGACTTACCTGCTTGGAGACCAGCTGCCCATTCTTATATTGCACTGTGCCGTTCTCTGCGAAGACGTAGTCAAACTTATCAATGACTGAGAAGGGAAGAAAAATAGAGGAAACATTACTACTGCCTGGGAAAGGGAGCAAGAAGGACTGGCATCAGGACTGAGTTCCTTAGTACTGTGCTTTCCACAGCTCTTGTGCTCTGCAAAGGGCCACTGGCCATCCTATGCTCCTTGCTTTCCACAAAGTGGATGAGGAGATTATCTTCTGCTCACGGGTGGGGAGGTGACGCATGCAGGGGGAAACGACCTGTCAGAGGTCACGGGCTGAATCAGTTGCAGGACAAAGATAAGGGCTCAAAAATGTTAGGCTTTAAACTACATACGTGCTACTCTGCTCTCTGCTGTGCCCTCCCCGCTGCCAGTCTGCTGGGGTGATGTGGTTATGGGTTATCTAACTCCAGCCTTCCCTGCAACCCAGACACGCAGCACTGGCGACTCAGCAATCAGCCTCAGACGGGAATTTCTCGGCCTCCCTCCACTAACGAAGTGGGAGGCAGAGCTTGGAGCCCTGTGGTGCTTGTCATCCATGCTGGAGATGGAGAACACGGTGGAGGAGGCAGGCGCTGTCCCCTTGCCCTCCCACTCCTTACTCTACCCCATGCCCCCATTGGAACGTGACGAGGAACCTGCGGGAGCCCCACCATGGAGCAGCACGAAGGAGAAAATTGCCTGGGGGACGCGAAGCTGTCAGAGCTCTGAGGTAGCTCGTACAAAACTGACGCTGGAGCCGGCGGCATGGATTGGAGCATCCCTGCCTGCCCTCCACACACGGGGACAGGGAGCCCAGCAGCAGCTCCCGTCCGGGCACGGCCAGCCACTCCAAGGGCAGCCTTGGGGTTGGATTTAGACCACAGGTGACCCCGGGAGACCTCGTCCGCCGCGCTCACCTTCGTCCCCTTCCCCTAGCTGCTCGGCTATCTTGGCATAGTCGGAGCCTCCCACCACGCCGATGTGCACCCTCTCCCGCAGCTCCCGCAGGAACGCGTCCACCTCCGGCTCGATTTTCTGGCGGGGAAGCAGCGGGTGAGGCCGCAGCCGGCAGATCGAGCTCCGCCTCGCCGGCCTCGTCCCCCCCCCCGAGCCCCGCGCCCCCGCGCCTCGCTACCTGCCGGGCCGGCGTCAGGGTCCCGTCCACGTCGAAGAGACACAGCACCCGGCCCCGCGCCGCCGCCATCCCGCCCGGGCTCTGCGGGCTCCGAGGGCGGGGGGCGGGACCGCGGGAGCTGATGGCGGCCGCCCGCCCTCCGGGGCCGCACGGGCGGGACGTGCCGCCCTGCCCGGCACCCCTCGCCTGCTCTCCCGCGTCTCCACGGCCCTCACAAGGATGCAGTAAGGTGCAGGTCTTGAACGGCTTCTCAGCTTCGGCTCTTTCCTTTACACCCTTTTAGAACCCCCTGGAGTCCGGGTGCGTGTGTGGCGCGTCTCTTCACATTGCTGTTATTACTGCAGTGTACCCCGGAACTGAGGGGCTGTGAGTCTGGATCGAGCTACCTGGCAAGCTCAGCTCCTCCGATGGTTTCTGTGTCCTAGTGAAGGGGACAGGAGCAGCACGCACTCTCCTAGTCAGTGCCTCACCTTGCTTTTTCCAGTAGAATGCTGTTAATATTTTTACTGGGAAGCGAAAATGCCCTCTGCACAAAGCCAGTAGCTTTTGCTTTAACCTGCCTACCACTTACCCCACGAGTCATTTAGGATTTAATTAGACCATCTGGTCAGACCATATTAATATGGCGCCGTATTATGCTAGCATCATGCTGACAGCCCCCCCCCCCCCCCCTTTGGTCTCTTACAATAATTCCTGAATTATTTTCCAACCTGAATTATTTTCCAAAATAAAAAACAGCCTATGTGGAACATCCAATGCTTTCTGCTCAATAGTTTGCTTGCATTCTCTTCCCCCAACAGTACTCAGTGTGCTGAGCTTGGTTGGAACTGGGGAGAGATTTATTCTTTTATGGTCTGATTGTTTTTTGCCTCAGTATAATTTGCTCCAGGATATCATGCAACCTCTTTTCCCAGTTCTCCACCAGATTCCTCTCAAAAGGAAGCATGCAGGTGGCTTCACAGATTCTGTTTTTTCTTCTTGTTCGTGGTTTATGATTTGCCTGCTCCCACTCAGTGGCAAGGGTATGTACAGAAACTATGTTAATAATTTACTTCTGTGCCATTGCCTTGACAAGGTTTACCAAAATATCCTCAGCTACTTTCTGGGGGAGACATTAGTTGAGTCCACCAGGACAGCTATTTCCATGCTGTTTCTGTGAGTTGCCTCCACAACACAGCAAGTCAAGAAGTCTTGGATGGGTATTACGTGTGTTACTCACCCCAGCATTGGTATTTCTGCAGAGTGCGTGGCCTTCTGGATCAGACCCTGGTTATGGGCTCCCACCTCTGGAAAGGTGAACTCTTTTTCTCATATGCCTGGAAACTCCCAGAATGGTTTCTTTGCATCTAGCTACTCTGTATGCAGTTGGGTGCCAAGTTTTGAGTTGAGTTTAGGGTTATGCTCATTTATAGGACTTGTTGAAGTGTGGTTACACATTTATCATCAGTTAATGTGTGGATTCTTACTCCAGAATATGAATCCTTGCAAGAGCGCCTACCATGGCATGCTGATAGGTGAGTAGAGATGCTTTCCTGGATTTGGGTGCTTGAGTGCCAGAAGCCAAGGAACTGTTCTTCCACGCAGCAGAGCCGTGAGCTAATGCCCAGGACCCTCAAAGGACAGCCGTGGGTCAGGGTTTCAGGAATGCAAACCTTTCTGTTTATAAACCATGACATGGTACGAGGAGGACACTTCCCATGTCTGGATGGAAGTGGTGTGGAGTTAGAAAACCTATTGTAGCAGCACTAGGTGCTTCTGTAGCCCAAGCTGCTCCATGGTCTTGTCTCCTGGCTGCTCCTACCTGCAGCTTTCTTGGCTGGGAGAGACCTCTCTCTTCCCTCTTGCACTGACATTACTATGGGCACTCCAAAAGTGGGAGCTGCTCTCCCGAGGCTCAGGTGCATCCCTGCACTGCAAGGCAGCAGTGCCACCTCGGGGCACTTTCCAGAACTGGGAGGTTTGCTAAAATACGGGACAGCGTTCACATTTTTCACACTCCTGCAGTACCATGGGGTTTATGCCACCCAGGAGAACTTCCTGAAACCCGAACTACCTGCTGTGCTTTCTCAGTTTGTCATGCAGCTTTAGGGAGTCTCTTCACACCAGAATGCCCCTTCCAAGAAGCACCTTGGAGGCTATTTGTATCAGCTGGTGAGGACCTGCGACAACTTCGTTTCCCTGGGAGCATAAACCTGCCTTGTGCTGAAGTGCACAGCTGTGGCTGCTCACTCAGCCGGGTTAGCTCTGAGAACAGGGACACTGTGGCTCTTCCTGTTGTTTAATACTTTGCACTCCAACCACCCCGATATATCCACTTAATTATAGGCAGGGAAAGGCCAGGAAATTTTGTTTGAAGTTTAGAAGGCAAGCAGCTTTGAGCGCTGGCTTACACTCTGTTTAGAGCTGCCATTAAGGTCAAGGTTTTCATTTTAGTTTTAAAATTTAATTTAAAAAAAAGTATTAAAAAAATTAAAATAGTTGTTTGCAGGTATTTTATGTGGGGCCAGTACTAGTACTTGGTAGCAAACCAGCACCACGTCTGAAGAACACAGCCAAAATAATCACAATCACACATCTCTGTTACAATCCCCTTCTGTTACAAGACCTCTTCTGTACTGCACTGATACAGACTGTTACACAAACAGCAAACTGTGTGGTTTATCATTTGGATGCCATCAATAAGCATGCAGAAAGCTGAACCAAGCAGAATGAATTTCTTTCCCAGGGCTGAATATTTTAGGCAGTGCTACATAATCCTCCCCAATATCCCAGAGGAAGCTCTAGAGGAACCCGGCCATGAAGTCTACTTCTTACTCTAATTTTTTCCCTTTTTTTCCTTTTTGAAAGTAGCATCAAGGCAGTCAGGAAAATACTTTTTTCCACATTAATTTTCCACATTAGGGCTCTTCTTCAACAGCAGTCCTTAGATGTTTCATACTTGCAGACTTAGGTGACCAAGGGCTGAACAAAACCTGTGCTGACAGAACATCTTCATTCACCTCATCCAAGCTGTGTCAAGCCTCAGGAATATGGTTTTAAATACCATGGTACTTACAGAAGAAAAAATTTCCTAAACTTAAATAAGAGTATTGCATTTGGCCAGTTCAAGCAAAGGGCAGTTGCCACCACTACTTCCAGCACCTGGCACAAGCTGCTTGGACAATTTCTCACACTTCACTTTCTAGGTGGGACCAGAGTGAAGATAATAATGACTTCTGGGCAGCTGCATTGGCTGGGCACATGCATTCAATCAGAAAAATGTGTTGTATTTCTTTTTATTGTAATAGAAAAAAACCCACAAGTAAATCAAAACATCACTTTCTGCCTAAAGACATTATTAACATTTTTAAAATGGCACGGGGGAACCTCAGCAATACAAGACAGATTAGTAAGTGTGGGCAGAAGGGTTCTGTTCCCTTTCAGGAGTTCAGTTTCCCTGCCCCTTTGTCCATCAGCTGGCTGAAGTTCATCATCTATATACATTTACATACACTTCTCAGTCTAGTTTGTTTTCAGCTGGGTGGAACGTTGAGGGCACAGTCCTGCAATTTACACAAAACCATCTTTGGAGAAAACAGGTTTCCTAAGAGTCCTACAGTGTACAGGGATCTCATTACCCAGTAAGACTAAGCAAAGAGGATTCCCCCTTACAGTTATTTTGCCACAAAACACAAGAGGAGGTTCAGAGCCCAGGAGCTCTTTGACTATTGCAAACAATGCAATTTATGGCTGAGTGAAATTTTATCCAGTGACTTTAAAGTAGGAGCGTTATCTCTGCAAAGGGGCTGCTTAGGAGGGGAAAAGGCAGATTGCAAAATGCACGGGGTGAATGTCTTCCTTTTCTTTCCTGCCCTGAGAGGATGCAAAAAGTCCTGAAGTAGGCAGCAAGCAGAAACTAGGCTCAGGACATCCAAAGTGGTGGACATACAGGGCATATCCTCATCATGTGTGTGGGGCAGAAACCATGGCACCAGTGCTTCCATCACAGGTAGCTGTGCCTGAAGTGACAGTTTGCTGAAAGGCAAGCAAGCACAGCTGTGCTGCTTGCAGGTACCAAAGGAGCACACCAGGATGTTGGGCTGCACTGTGTCAGCTCGAGTGTACCTGCTCAATTGAGGAAGCTCTGAGATCTCTAACACAATCTACTGCATTTTGTGGCACAGTCACATGTGCATTGAGATGGAAGGCTGGTTACTCTTCACAAACATGTATGGGAAAAGACTGGAGATAATACATATATTAGACAGGAAGACTAAGCTATGGCTTAGCAAAACCAGACACCAATCCTTCCTCCAGGAGCATCAAAAGGCATCCATAACTGACTTTCATAGAATGTTTTCTGCAAACAGGGTATTTGGAGGAGGAAAGATTGAAAGCTTTTGCATAAAGCCATCTGTAGTAACTGCTACAGTTATCTCTGAGTCCAGTCCATCAAATGAAATACTTAAGGAGAAGTTGATGGCACAAGTTGAGAATGACATGGAAAAAAAGCATCTGGGCTGCAGGAGCCACTGCTGTGCACTGAGAGCAGGTAAACATTAAACAGCAGAATGGCCTGACAATACCCTATTGCCATCTGTGCACCGACTTCACCAGGTGCAGGACAACAGAGTATTTGACAGTGACAAAATTGCAGTTTTCCTCTATTCCAACCCCTCAAAAATACAAACCGTTATAATCCACACAGAGTAACAATGTGATAAATTCATCAGTCTGCATTATTCTGGGAGAAAGAACCCAGTACAGGAAAGACATCTCCTTTAGGTATGTAAGAAGTTTCCAGTGCAGGAAGTTTGAGATGCAGAACTGAACTTGCAGCAATATTTTTCACAACAAAGCACTGGACAAAGGCTGTACATTTGCATAGATGCCTTTTTGGCAGCATCTGGGACGTGCAATCCCCATTTTTGGAGCATCAGCAGTGTTCTGGGGTTTGACTGATGTCTTTCTTATATTCCTTCCTAAACGTAACTGCTACAAAATTGTTCAAGAAAGTAGTGTATATACATGCATGAATAGAAAACATTGTGCCTATTTTTTCATTCCCCTGTTCTTTCCCACTGCAAGTA